AAACCGTCCAAGTATTCTATCTTCACATAATTCTCACGCCATTTTTATTTTAAACAAGACAAGATTTTTATGAGTTTGTGGATCCCACAATAATCCTCATTGATTTCCCCATATATATCTCATGAGATTCCAACTCGACTTCATAACATTCAACATTAATTGAATACCCCAAAAACAGCTCCCTTTTTTCACAAAACCCATTTTGCTGGTTTCTCCATTTGGATCAAAAATGGTTTGTGTTATTGCTTTTTCATCATGTTCTCTTACTTTGTTTCAAAATTCTGTTTAACTAATTATGCTCAGCCTTCTTTTGTTCTTCAGGTTGCCGAGAACAACAACAAGGAAGTAACACTGTCTGCTTCAATGGAAAACAACAACATGAAAGGAACTAACTTTCATCTTGAGGTTCTTCAAAAGGATCAAGCTTTGGTCAAACCCGAATCCGAGACACCAAAGGGTCTTTACTTCTTGTCGAATCTTGATCAGAACATCGCCGTGATCGTCCGCACAATCTACTGTTTCAAATCTGAGGAGAGAGGTAACGTGGAAGCAGTCCAAGTGATCAAGAAAGCTCTGAGTCAAGTTCTTGTTCATTACTATCCTCTTGCAGGACGTCTCACCATAAGTCCTGAAGGTAATTGGTTAAAGACAATTAATGATCACTTTCGGTTTCAGTCTTTAATTATTTGAACTCACACAACAACATTAGTTAATGTCTTTAATGGTTGTGAAAATTCAGGTAAACTCACAGTGGACTGTACTGAAGAAGGAGTTGTGTTTGTGGAAGCAGAAGCAAACTGTAAAATGGATGAGATTGGTGACATCACGAAACCGGACCCTGAAACTCTAGGGAAGCTTGTCTATGATGTTGTAGACGCCAAGAACATTCTTGAAATCCCTCCTGTTACTGCTCAGGTTTACTTTTCTTCCTCCGCAAGTAACCTTTTTGTTTTAGTAATGTTTTAATTAGATGATATCTAATTTGAAAGGGTTTAACATATAGGTGACTAAATTCAAATGTGGAGGGTTTGTTCTTGGACTCTGCATGAATCACTGTATGTTCGATGGGATTGGAGCTATGGAGTTTGTTAACTCATGGGGTCAGGTCGCTAGAGGCTTACCATTAACAACTCCTCCATTTTCGGACCGAACCATTCTCAATGCTCGAAACCCTCCAAAGATCGAGAATCTTCACCAAGAATTCGAAGAGATTGAAGACAAATCCAGCATCAACTCTCTTTACTCCAAAGAGCCAACTCTCTATAGATCTTTCTGCTTTGATCCAGAGAAAATCAAGAAACTTAAGCTCCAAGCAACAGAGAACAGTGAATCTCTCCTCGGTAACAAGTGCACAACTTTTGAGGCTTTATCTGCTTTTGTCTGGAGAGCAAGAACCAAGTCACTCAAGATGTTGAGTGATCAGAAAACGAAGCTTCTCTTCGCTGTTGATGGTAGAGCCAAGTTCGAGCCTCAGTTGCCAAAAGGCTACTTTGGGAATGGAATCGTTCTCACGAACTCAATCTGTGAAGCTGGAGAGCTAACCGAGAAACCGCTGAGCTTCGCTGTTGGGCTAGTTAGAGAAGCGATTAAGATGGTAACTGATGGATACATGAGATCTGCCATTGACTACTTCGAAGTGACAAGAGCAAGACCATCTCTTTCCTCGACTCTTCTGATCACTACATGGTCAAGATTGGGTTTTCACACCACAGATTTCGGTTGGGGAGAACCGGTTTTGTCCGGTCCAGTCGCTTTGCCTGAGAAGGAGGTGACTCTGTTTTTGTCTCATGGAGAAGAGAGGAGAAGCATCAATGTGCTTCTTGGGCTTCCTGCTTCAGCCATGGATGTGTTTCAAGAACACTTTTTACAGATATGATATGAACAATAAAGAAAAAGACAAATATCCGACAAATATTGTCAAAAACTATTCGTTTTTACTCTGTTTTATCTTCTTGCCTCCTTTTTATTTTTGTATTCTGCTGAATGATTGTTATTATTATCTTCATCTTAAAAAGTGTCTGTATCTTACATCAAGTTTCAGTCACAACTTTATATTATTTCAAATATATTACAATAGTTTGTGTTTTTTGTATTCCAAACTACAAATTAATTATAAAAATCTGTATAAACAAATGTCCAAAGATATAAACAGAGAATCAGAAGACAAACAGAGCAAGAACATCATCAAGTCATCGTCCTTGATGGGCCGGCCCATTAGTATGACAAAACCGATTCAGGCCCAATAAGAAACACCATTTGAATCAAGCTCCACCTCTAATGGCGGAATCGCACCTCCGCCTTCTTCGATCAAAGCTTTCTCTATTCCCTTCTATTCCAATTTAGGATTTGTTCACAATTTCCCCTGTTTCTTGTTCCTCCGCTGAGTTCAATCGTAAAACTCTCTACCTAATCTCTCTCTCTCTCGATTTAGATCGGAAAATCAAAGGTTGAAATTTGTTGATGGATTCTCTTGTTGAAGCGTCGTGGTCTGAGTTCGCTCAAAACGTGTCCGGAGAATGGGATGGTTTCGGAGCAGATTTTCCTGGCGATGGAGGAAAGCCGCTTGAGCTACCGGAATCAGTGGTTCCAGAGGCGTACAAAGAATGGGAAGTGAAGGTGTTCGATTGGCAGACGCAATGCCCCACTCTCGCCGTCGCCGACGCACAATCCTTCCTTTACAAGTCTATCAAACTTTACCCAACCGTTGGATGCGAAGCTGATTTACCCACCCGTTACTCCGTCGACGAGAGAAGCATCGCAACCGCATCAGCATTCTCTTACTCTGTCTCTGGCTCCTATGTCGCTCTCTGGCCTCTTGGGGAAAACCAGCTCGAGGTTGAGCATTGTCTGTTCAATCCAAACGACAAGGAGTCTCGTGTTAGGGTTTTCCAGGTCATCCGCTTAGCGGATTCGTCGTCGGAGATGTTGTTGCAGAGTGTTAGAGTTTTCCGTGAGCTCTGGTACGGTCCGTTCAGAGATGGAGATCAGCTCGGAAGCTGTGCCATCCGTAGCTCTGCTTTTGCTTCTACACCTGCCACGTCAGCTTCAGTGGTTGCTGGTTCTTGGAGAGCTCTTCTTGCCACCACTAGCTTTCACGCTTCTGAGGGTTGTTGTGTTCAGCAAGTTGCTGGCGAGAAGGTGGTTGATGTCGTAAGAGAAGAGAAACATCTTTTGTTGCTTCCGAAAGATTTGTGGTGCTCACTACAACAAGGAAGAGACGGAGAAAGAGAATTTTCAGTAGGATGGTTGTTTGAGACAGGACATGCTGTTACATCCACTTGTGTCTTCTCTAGTGATTCTAAGCTTAAGGTATTATAATTAACAATAGTCATCTCTTGATCTCCTTGTAATTGCAATGCAACCTGTGGTCATTGTTGTATATAATAAGATATCTTTTGCTTTTGTGCAGGAGGTAACAATGGGAAGAGAGACTGCTCGATCACATGTATAATCGTTTTGTTTTTTTTTATAGGATGTGTGTACATACAAGTCAAATTACAATAATCTCTATATGATCAATATACTAATACTACATTCAGATGTGGAGGGTTTGTTCTTGGACTCTGACAAATTATTGGAAAAAAACTATTCGTTTTTACTCTGATCTATCTTCTTGCTTCCTTTTCTTTTTGGATTTCTGCTGAATTATTGTTATCATCTGTCTCTATCTTGCATCAAGTTTCAACCATAAGTTTATATTATTTTTTCAGATATATATTATTAGCTTATAATACATGATTTGTTTCTGAAATGTTAATGATTCCAAACTACAGATAATATATAAAAATATGTAAAAACAAAGTCCAAAGATAAAAGAACAGAGGATGATTTTTGCAGTTTTTTATCTATTGCTTGCCACACAAGTCAAGATTCCTCTGAAACGGTCTGAAATTCAAAGCGGTGAACCCATAAACACAGAGATTAGACCTCTTGGACTTGAACACGGCCTGATCCGTTGTAGTTTTGTAGCCAGGAACGCTGCAAGAATCCGAGGAGCCACCGATCAAGCTTGCCTGACAAGAAGCCTTTGGAGAAGCTTTATCTGCTTCTGCGGCGCATGTAACGCCTTCCAAAGACGTTATGTCTAGCTTGTAGACTCCGAGCTCGTTCGTTGTTCGATTTGCAGAGAATGTTATCATCTCTCTAGTTCTTGGCGAAGCTGCATTGAATCTGCAGATTATTCTCACTTCCACACCTGTTTTTATGTTCAGTTAAAACAAAATTGAGTGACATTACAACTTGGATCTAACAATTTTGAGAAATGTTGATTGGTTTCTTTACCGGGCATGAAGTAGCTGTGTTTGGAGAAACTGTTGTTGGAGCAGACGTCGCAGTAAACAAGACCCATTACAGTGATCTTTGCATTTGGTTTGGCTGATGAATGTTTCAGAGACAGAGAGTTTAAGAACAGAAGTTGCAGAAGTAACACAAGCATCATCAGTTTCTTTTCCATCTCCACTAGCTTCAGATTTTTCTTTTTAATTTGGATAAACACTTGTTTACAGATGAGGTTTCCTTTTTGTTTGTGGTTGATGTAAGAAACAGACAAAATAATGGGCCAAGAGGCTAACGACAAAAGAAGAAACAAGATATCAAGACAAGAAAAGACAGGAACTCCATTGAAACAAAGCTTCAAGTTTGTCCTTGTTACAGAAAACTCAAGATTCTTGTGGACAAAGAGATGAGCAAAGAGAGAAGCTTCTGGAGTGAAGGATAAAAATGAATGATAGAGAGAAAGAAAGAGAGGAATTAAAGGAAAAGTAGGGAAAGGGAGAGGTTGGTTGTGTGTTTTTACATTTATTGAGCACTCAAGCTTTCTGTTTCAAGGGTTTTTGTTTATGAATAGTACCCAAAGAATGGCTAAATCTGGAAAAGAGAATGGAGAAGGTAAGCCACTTGTGTGTATATATGTATGGACCACTAGCTAGTATCAGTTTATCATCATCATAAACATCAAGAAAGTAGTCAGAGGAAATGACTCTTTAGATATCAATACAAAACGCCAAAATATGATATTTTTTGGGCCTTTGGTTAAATTTCGGTATAGAATTTCAGGTTTTAAGGTCCTATTCAAAATTGAATACAACAATACAAGGGGGAATTCACATCGAAACTCTTATCTTGCATGATCATGTTCAGACTTGTATCGGCTTGTTTACACCATTCATTAAGCATACTCACAAGAAACTCTAAAACAATCGTCCATGATTAAAAAAAAAATAACGGGAGAAAACATAAGTACAAAAAAAAAAAAATGAATTAGAGAGATGAATATCATTTAGGTTGATAATTAAAGACAAGTCCATGATTAAAAAAAGGAGGGAACAAAATGCAATGAAAAAGAGGGCAATGCACACCTGTTGCACAACAATATCACATCGCAACCACTTAGGTTTTCAAGCTCTTGTTTTCACGGTTTTCAGAGGAAGTATCAACAGAGTTAGATGCGCCAAACCTTTGCTTATTCCACATAACAGGTTCTAACCCTGGTCGGTTTACAATCCTTAAGCAACCAGCGGTTCTCCAAGCCTACGCCTCCATAAGCTTCTGCAAAGAGCTTACCATTTCACCGAGATGTTTGCCTCTTGTAATTCTCGATTTATCGTTTCCATCCTTTAGAAAAGCCATATACTAGTAGTTTCCTTTTTTTCTTATTCTCATGTTTTGTTTGAATTGACAGCTTGTCCCTCATCTTGGAGATAAGCAAGTCAGCTCAGACTCAGAAAAGTTTTCCATCAATCTGGTGGATAAAAGAGCCTTTGCAATAGCTAGTACTTAAAATTTTAGTGATATATAGAGAAAGAAAAGACAGAACATATGCTACTACAAACACTTTAGTTTTTCTTTGTATGTTTTCTTTTCTACAAACACTTGTAAGCAAACAGAGAAATCCAGGTTTTTACTTTTTATGTTTCCAATATATGTGTCAAATAGTTGCAGGTTACAAACATGAACTCAAGAATATAAATGTTACGGTTAGAAAATCAAAATTTGCCTACAAAAATAAGTTTGTTACCACATGATGTATATGCTGTTAACTATTTGGTTGTCATGTCCACTTGGCCTGTGTTTTTCATGTTTATGTTTTGCTTACTAGGTCATGATCTGTTTTATAATAATTGGCTTTTAAACGTTATCTTATGTACAATCACTTGGCCTGTGTTTTTCCATGAAATCTACTATTGAACTTCCTTCCTAGCTAAAAAAAAAACCAAGTCCAAATTTATGTCAGTAGAATTTGATTATTTTGCTTAGCATCTTATTCCCTTTACTTGGATTTTGGTCTCACTACAAGGGATTGGGCTTAAATAAGTCCCAATCAGGACAATGTTAAAATTCGGTGTATAAAAAGACTTTTCCGTTATCCAATTTCTTTTCTGAAAGGACAAGGTCAAGTAGCCAAGGTAGGAAACAGACCACTAGAAAAATGCCACGTCAGCTGATTTCGCTCTTCCCTTCTGGCTTCTAAAAAAGTGTAAAAACGACGGTGACAGACTGAAAGTAGCTAACAGTCGATTTTTTAAATATTTATTTATTTATTGAAAGTAGCTAAAAAGAGTAAAGTGGCGGAGGAGGAAGAAGAAGAAGAAGAACCCTTTTTTTTTTCTTCTCCTCTGACTACTCGTTTAATGTCTGAGACTTCCCGGAATCTAAAGGAATCTCTTCAACGGAGACTCAAACTTTCTCTCTTTCTTTCCTTATCTTCGTTTTAGTGTTTTCCCCTTTGCTTAGTTTTGAAGGAATCGATACAAGAGAGAAAGCCTTAGAGAGAGAGAGATGTATGTCGTGACGCCTCCTCAAAGATCCGATTTGGGATCCAACGGAGATTTACGGGTTTACCAAACATGGAAAGGAAGCAATGTGAGTTTTATGTGAAAGCTTTGAAATTTCTTGCTTCTTTTGGTTTATTCTCGAGCTTGTTTCGATTGTGTAGAAATTTCTCACTAAATGGGCTCAAATTAGTCTCTTGTCTAGCTCAAAAATTGGAACTTTGGTTCGTCTTAGAAGTGTTGCTTTATGGATAATTTGTCTGCAATCCAAGTTTTTACTCTCTCTGAGGCCAAAAATTCAGAAGCTTTACCGTTTCCTGCGAATAAAAATCTTAGCTTTAACCAAAATCTTAGGGTTTCTCCATGAATTTAGCTCGATGAGTGATTGAATTACTTAAATTGTTCGTTCGTACAATCGTACTTTGGTTATAAAATTGGTACTGTGTGTATATTAAGGTTATCTATTTGGCTGCTAATGTCGAAAATGTGACTCAAAGATGAAACATTTTGAAGTTATTCCCCAAATCCCTGTATTGAGTTGTTAACATTTGTTCAATTTCTGCAGATATTTTGTCTTCAAGGAAGGTTTATATTCGGGCCAGACGTAAGATCACTTCCTCTGACCATAAGTCTCATCGTAGTCCCTGTTATAATCTTCTGCATCTTCGTCGCTAGCAAGCTAATGGAAGACTTCTCCAATAGTTGGGGAGTGTCTATAGTCTCTGTTGCTGTTGTCTTCACCATTTATGTGAGTTACCAAACGTTTCCTTTTCCTTTTGCATTGCAAATGTTCTGTGACTGACTTGCTGCTCAGTCATAACAAGTTTTTTGCTTTCTCTGTAGGATATGATTCTTCTGATGCTTACATCCGGAAGAGATCCAGGGATCATCCCGAGAAACTCTCATCCTCCAGAGCCAGATGTTCTTGATGGTAACAACACGAACCCGGGGAGTACAAGCCAAACTCCGAGATTGCCTCGCGTTAAGGAAGTAGAAGTTAATGGAAACATATTCAAGGTCAAGTACTGTGACACTTGCATGCTCTATAGACCGCCTCGCTGCTCTCACTGTTCGATTTGCAACAACTGTGTAGAAAGATTTGACCATCACTGTCCTTGGGTTGGTCAATGCATTGCTCAAGTAAGTCTCTTCCATCAGTTTTCATGTTACTTACTTTTGTTTTCTACCATCAGTCCATATAATGTTTCTTGAGGGATGAATGATCTTGCAGAGGAATTATCGGTTCTTCTTCATGTTTGTCTTCTCCACAACTCTTCTCGGTGTATATGTGTTGGCCTTCTGCTGTGTCTATATAAGGAAGATCAAAGAATCTGAAGATGTAACCATTTGGAAAGCAATGCTCAAAACTCCTGCTTCCATGGCGCTGATACTCTACACATTCATAACAATGTGGTTTGTTGGAGGCTTAACATGTTTCCACATCTATCTCATCAGCACAAATCAGGTAAACCTTAATCCTTCCCCTCTCTAACCTCTCTCTCAATCACTTTCCACGTTTTGATCGAATCTTTTTCGTTGTTTTCTGTAGACAACATATGAAAACTTCAGATACAGTTACGACCGGCGTAGCAACCCACATAACAAAGGATTGGTTGATAACTTTAAAGAGATCTTTTACTCGGCGATATCTCCTTCCAAGAACGATTTCAGAGCTATGGTACCTAGGGAAGCTCCAATGCCGTCGAGATCAGCTGTTGGAGGCTTCATGAGTCCAAACATGGGAAGAGGTAATGATGATGAGATTGAAATGGGAAGGAAAGGTGTTTGGGCAATGGCTGAACATGGTGGTGATGACAAGAATGGTGGTAGTAACAACAATGAACGGTTTCATGTTAATGACGATGAGTTAGGTGACATTAGGACACAAGTGAATGATGATGAACAGATCGGTAGGCCAAACATTCGTCCGAGGCAGTCAAGCTGGGAAATGTCACCTGAAGTTATGGCCTTGGCAGCAAGAAGACCTTAGAAACAGTCTTGAGAGGTGTTTTTTCAAATGTAGCTTGTTTGATTGATGTATTATTGTTGGTTTTAAAGTGAAATCAAATTGTGAATTGGTGTGATATTTTTCAGAAGTTATGGGTGTTTTATTCGACAGTTAAATCTTGAATCATTGTGTTTTAACTCAATCTATGATTTTGACAGTACTTGTCTTTCACAGAATGAGAAAACAAAATGAATACAGACGATTTTTATCACTGTACTTAAGAACTGTGTCAAATAATAATAAAGCTGAAACTGAATTTTCACTTTCAGACATGTGTGGACCATAAGACTAGACAAGTCTTGTTTATAGTGTTCATTGAAGCACGGCTCTGCAATAAATGCTAAAGAACCCTAAAACGTTTCTTCTTCTTCTAAGTCCACAATTAATTTCTTTAAACCAAAGGTATTGGGTTGTTATGTTTGTTTAAACAAGGTTAGAGATGAGTCTTTTCCTCAGACAAGGACTTTTCATTCATGAAGGGAATCAAACAAATATTTATAGTAGAAATCATTTTCATGAACAGCTATTGACTATTTTTGATGTAAAAGAAACTGTTTTTTAACTGAGAATGAAGGTAACTGTCCAGTCAAACTTACACCATAGACAAATACAATAAAGAGAGTCAATGACTTGTTCATAAGTGATATTTGTATGCACATGTTATAAATTATATAAAAAGACGAACCATATTTCAATTGAAATGTCACTATTACTGTTTTAGCAACCTCTAGCTCCTCTTTATTTAGAACCTTACCATGTGAGTCAAGAGCTCAAAAACCTCTGCAAAAGCTCTCTTTATCTGTGTCTCTCTTCTATAATCCTACTTTCAACACTAAATAGCCAAACCATAGATACCAAAATATAGCAGGTAGGTTTTTACTTTGGTTTTCTCTAAGATCTACCAAAAACATGTATAAGAATCAGCTTCAAGAGCTAGCACAGAGAAGCTGTTTTAGCTTACCATCATATACTTGCATAAGAGAAGGACCAGATCATGCTCCAAGATTCAAAGCTTCTGTTAACTTCAATGGTGAGATATTTGAGAGTCCAACTTACTGTTCCACTCTCAGACAAGCTGAACATGCAGCTGCTGAAGTTTCACTCAATGTCCTTTCCTCTAGAGTTCCATCAAAGTCTCTAACTGCTAAGATTCTTGTAAGTTCTGTCTTTTTTCTTTTGTGTATTGATCATATACAAACTTGCAAACAAAAAGTGTAACATCTTTAATTATATATGATTTCAATCTAAGGATGAGACAGGGATTTACAAGAACTTGCTTCAAGAGACAGCACATAGAGCTGGTCTTGATCTACCAATGTACACAAGTGTAAGATCAGGATCTTGTCACTTCCCAGCTTTCTCTTGCACTGTGGAACTTGCTGGGATGAGTTTTACTGGAGAATCAGCAAAGACAAAGAAACAAGCTGAGAAAAACGCAGCCATTGCTGCTTGGTCTTCTTTGAAAAAAAGTGCTCAAAATTAAAAACTCTCTTTTCCAATTTCCATAATAAATCCCAAAAAAGCTTTTCACTTTTCTAATTGAATCCATCATTTTTTTGTTGTTACTCCACAGTGTCAAGCTTGGATGCTGAAAATGGTGAAGAGAAGGAACAAGAAGTAGTAGCAAGAGTACTCTCAAGATTCAAGCCAAAAGAAGTAAGAAGAAGAGAGACAGCAAACCAATGGAGAAGAAGAACAAGTCATCAACAAGACACAACAAACAAGGACTTGTTGATTGAGAGATTGAGATGGATCAATCTATTGACAAACGAATCTTCATCATCATCGTCATCAACGCAGAAACAACTCAACAAAACCAGTTTCTTCTCTCTGCTTCCGTCAGCACAAAGCCAGCCATTAAGAACAAATCTTCAGCAACAATTCAAAGGCAAATCAGCAGAAGAAGCTAAGCCAGAGACAGAGAAGATCATCACAAAGTCGTTTCCTTTACCAATGGCTGATCATAAGACCAAACTCAAGGAATCATCATTCGGATTCGGTAACCAAATCCCCTTTTCCGACAAAGGCAGATTCAGTTTCGCCGGAGGTTGTAGTAATAGGCTAGCTCCAGCAGTTCAAATCCGATCAGTGATTCCAGTTTTCGCAGCTCCACCATCGAAACCAAACCTTAACCAATCATCGTTATCAACAAATCCTTGTTCTGTTCCTAATACGCCGGGATTGGGAGGTCAAGAGAAGAGTGAACAATCGAAAATTTTGGATCAAACCCATGATTAGTTAGGTAAAGTTGTTGGTTAATGTTAAATCTCAAATTAAATCCTTGTCGAGTGTTTCCGTATAATCAAAATAATAAATTAATCTCTTGATTGTGTTTCTGTCTTCTGAAAGTTTTGAATTTTCTGTACCGACATGAAATTTGAATGCTTGCGTATTGCACGGAGAACGAAAACAGAGAGCATTAAATTTGGGGAAGAAGAGGAGGAAGAAGAAGAAGAAGATGGGTGAGAGAAAAACAATTAATGGGTTTTGTCTTCTGCCATTAATGCGCCGATTGCTCTGCTTTTGCCACTCTTCCTCATTAATGGTTTGCTCTGTAACGTCGGTTCGAGCCAAAATTATTATTACTTCGAAAACACAAATTCTACATCCACAAGTTACAATAGTTTCTGAAAATAACCCAAACTTTTGTTGTGTGCTAAAAACCCCACTTTATTGATAAATAATTCGTAATTCGTGTGAATCTCTGAATTGCAGATGAAAATGATGGGTGTGATGAATAACGGATATAGTGGTAATATGATTACTAATCATCAATATACAATAGTTGTATATCACTATCTCTCATCATTCTTTCTTACTTCTCTTAATGATTCCATTACTGTTTAGTGTTTACATCTATCTTTCTCTGTTTTGACACACTAATCAGACTAGAGATATCAGATAGCTTTTTTTTTACATAGATATCAAATATCTATGGTTTTACTTTTGGGATTCTTTGAAAAATATCCTATTTATGTTTAAAAATTTGAAAAATACTCTAGATTTTTTTTCTGTTTTGAAAAATACTTTTTTTGAATGTAAAAAATCTGTTTTGACCTGATTTAAACAAAACATTAATAAATAATTACAAATTATAAACGAAATTCAAATAATAGAATTAATAAGTTTTTTTTTCAGATAAATACAGTATCTGTTAAATTGAAACAAATTTTAATATTTTTGGACATTTATATAAACAACTTAATCTCACATATTCCAAGCAAATGAAACTTTATATAATTTTAAACTTTACATATATTTAAGCTTTATAAATTATTAAAATTTTAAAAGTGGAGAAATATATCTTTCATTTTTAATGTTTATCTTGAAACAAATTTAAATATTTTTGAAACTTTATATAAACAACCTTAATGATTATATAAACATAAACTTTATATAAACAACTTTATATTTTTATTGAATTTAAAAAAAAAAACTAAACAGATAATTAGGATGGTTTAGTATTTTAAAATGAAATAGAATTATTATCCAATCTTAATATTTTGTATTTCTTATTTGAATTTCGTTTTTATTAAATTAATTGAAAACTTCAATTAATATAATTAAGTTATTTCACATATAAAAAAATATATTTTTCAAAACCAAAAAAAAAATAAAGATAGTTTTCAAATTAAAAATTCATTTAAGAGTATATTTCCAAAATTTCTCTACTTTTAGTAATTGATATTTTCAAGAATTAGATAAGGTTCTGTTTGGTTAGAGACTCGGGTCTCGATCAATTGGGCCGCCGCAGCTATTTGGGGACACTTACCTTTCTAGTGGGCCGTTACAAACCGAAACATAAAACTAAGGAATGGGAAGTGACCTACCAAACCAGATTACCAACCGGATTGGATTTAACCGGCCACGTGTTTGGCAAGAAATTTCAGAAAATGATATATCCAGTTTTGGAAATAAGTTATACGCTTTTAAGACGTGGATCCAAGTAGCAGAAAGCTCACATGTTGGTGGATCTGATCTGCCCCACCGAGCCAACTCTAATTGATAATCCAGTTGATGTTTTTTCCAAAAATAAAAAAATTGATAATCCAGTTTCTTATTATCCTTACAGATAGATATTGCATCAGAAACACGTCAGATTTTCGTGGACGAAAACCATTTTTAAAATGTAATCGCTAGTTCAAAGATACTAGTCTAATTGATACATTTTTGACAAAGTTATCTTGCAAAATGCGTGAATCACGTTATCCATGATTAACAAAAGTGTAAAAGAGTTACTTAGAATAACAAAATATATAAACAATGTTGATTGTGGACTTGAATGGCAGTTATGTCATCAGATTGTAATTGCCTCATTTTTCCCCTGTTAAACGCACTTTTTCAAGAAATAAGTTGGTAACTAGTCAGTTTAGGAAACTTTCTTTGTATTTGGTTTGCAATTTTTTTTTCAAATAAAAAATTATTTGTTTTCTTGAACGTGAAGTCCTAAACAATGAAATGACACCAGTATTTTACGTTAAAAGAAAAATTTGGCTCCACAAAAATATAATATCAAAATTTCCCTGGTTTTCTATTTATTCCGGTCTGAAATTAGTTTTCCTATTTAGGCGGGACTCTTTAAAATAAAAACAAGAACATTTTCACCAAGTTTGGGAAAACAAAAAACAAGATTTCTCAATCAAAAGACAGTGACTGAAAATAGATGATGACATATAAACAAAAATAAAATAAAACAGTGACTGAGCCGTGCAAGATAATCTTATCTCCAATGACTCAACGCCACGTGTAATAGATGAACCGTACTCTTTGTCGTACCAGATTCCATAAAAGGCGGGAAGAAAGAAAACACTAATCAAGAAACGCACATTGCTGACGTGGAATGGAATATTCGAACGCGGAGATCCAGCTCTCTTCCGTCTTCTTTTAATTAATACTATAAATTACTCTGCAGAAAAACCAGAAATCTTCACACACATTTCGAAAATCCAAAGCAAGATTTGAGATTTCAGATTTGAGCATCCTTGTCGTGAGGAACAAGTTGTATCTCGATTCATAATTGCAGCTTCCAAATATCTTTCACTTTGGGAAAGTAAATTTTTGGTAATTCTCATATATATATATATACACATAAATGGCTCTTCGTACTGTTCTCGTCTCCGACGTCCCTTGCCTCCCGGACTCTGTCTACGGATTAGCCGAAGGTATGTCAATGCGTCTCTCTCTCTCTCTCTCTCTCTCTCTCTCTCTCTCTCTCTCTCTCTCTGTTCGTCTGAGATCGTTGCTGATCTTGGTTCTTGATTTTCGTTTGGGGACAGGTTTAGATTTGAGCAAACCGAAATCGTTTAGGATGCCGGGATTTTCGGTTATCGGACACAGAGGAAACGGCATGAACGTGTTGCAATCGTCTGACCGGAGAACGAGAGGGTTTAAAGAGAACTCTATTCTCTCGTTCAATTCCGCCGCTAAATTTCCGATCGATTTCATTGAGTTCGATGTTCAGGTTGGTGGTTCTCCGATCTATTCATTGAGTCTTTTAAAGAGTTTTGGATCTTGGGGATTTTGGTTTTCGATTGGGGTTAAGAAAGATTCTGATTTGAATCTCTTTTTTTTTTATGCTATTTATAGTTTTCTTAGAAATGAAATGAAAAAAAATAAAGAACAAGAAGAAAGAAATGGCCATAGAAGCAAACCGACGAGCTTTGTGTGGTTGTTTCTTTTTTTGTAGGTCACAAAAGATGAAATCCCAATCATTTTCCACGATGACTTCATCTACTGCGAAGAAAATGTGAGTCTTGTTGCTTCTCTTTCATCTTCTTGATTCATTTCTCTTCATAGATCTTGTCTTGATGGATCTTGTGTCTCTGTTTATTATTGTGGTGCAGGGTAGTGTTAGCGAGAGTAGAGTAACGGACCTGAGTCTCTCTGAGTTTCTCCTCTATGGACCTCAGAGAGAAGCTGAGAAAACTGGGAAGACACTAATGAGAAAATCCAAAGAAGGCAAAGTTTTGAAATGGGAAGTTGACTTGGATGATTCTCTCTGCACGTTACAAGAAGCTTTCGAGAGAGTAGAGCAGTCTCTAGGGTTCAATATCGAGTTGAAGTTCGATGACCATACAGTCTATGAACGAGAATCTCTCGTCCATGTTCTGAGAACAGTTCTTCAGGTTGTGTTTGATTATGGTAAAGACAGACCAGTGATCTTCTCAAGTTTCCAACCAGATGCAGCTCAGCTTATTAGGGAGCTACAGAGCATTTACCCTGTATGTTCCACTCTCTCAGCTTCTTTGATGCGTCTACTTGATGCAATTGCTAATTATAAACTCTGTGTTGTTTCTTAGGTTTTCTTTCTGACTGATGCGGGGAACCATATTTACAATGACGAGAGAAGAAACTCGCTAGAAGAAGCCATTAATGTTTGCTTGGAAGGGAAGCTACAAGGCATTGTTTCAGAGGTTAGAGGAGTGTTTAAAAATCCATCAGCCATTAGCAAGATCAAAGAATCTAACCTTTCTCTCCTCACATACGGCAAACTCAAGTAATTAAAACCTTCTTCATTTTTCTTATACATAACCAAACTCTGACTCTAAACCCTTAGTCTTTAATGAGATTTTAATTTCTTGGTGTTGCAGCAATGTGGGAGAGGCAGTATACATGCAATATGTGATGGGGATTGAAGGAGTGATTGTAGATTTTGTTGAGGAGATTGTAGAGTCAGTGAATCTCATGATGATAAGACCATCATCACCACCATCGTTATCACCATTACCATCATCACCTTCCAAGGATGATGGTGCCATTACAAGACCTGAGTTTTCACAAAAGGAGATTGATTTTCTTCTCAAGCTTCTCTCTCAGCTGATACAACATTGATCATCATTTCTTTTTCTTTAGCGTTTGATTTTCTTTGTAGTTTCTATGTTTCTTGATTTTTTTATTCTTCTGGGTGCTTTGTCCCCATAGCCTCATTTGTCAACTAGTCAGAATTTTACATTTGGTTAATTTTTTCAAGAGAAAATTGATTATTTCTTAATCTGAAACTCTGATCAGGTAACAAAATTGATTAATTTTTTTAAACTCTGTTTTTGTAGTACTAATAAAAAATACTTACATTTCTAATTGGGACAATCAGGGTCCTAATTGGAGTATATCCCATTTAGAAATTGAAATATTATTCTTAAATCCAACCTTTAAAGGATTCTTGAAGTTCCAATCAAACTACAACTCATTACTCTCCTTCTACTCTGCCTTAACTATGAAGAAACGAAAAAGACATTCGTTTTTCCCCCCTTCTCTTCAGTATCAAATTCAGGAATCCAATTCCAATAGCCACAACAGAAAGTCTCTTTAATATAAACAAAATGAGATAAAATCAAACCCTTCTCTGTAATATTTGTTTCTACAGATGCTTGATTTAATAGTTTACTAGTATGGTTATATTTATCACTTCATATTCGAATCCAACTAGAGTTTATACTACTTATCAATGGTTTGTTCAAACTCTTCTGTCTAACTAAAATTTAAATTTAATCAAAGAGGAAGGGAGAAATGGAAACGATTAATAAATATTGAAAACCTTTAAGCTATATTTACTTTTTAGTCTGTAACTTTTCCTTATTTACCAAATAGCATGCATGCATGCGTAACTTTCCCTTTATTAGTATTTAATCTGTAAACATTTCCTAATTTACCAAAGAACATGCATGCGTGGCGTGGTATTACCAATTTAATAAGAATCCAAAACGGAAATTGTTTTCCTTATCCCATTCGGAATTGGTGCATCTCTGTAACTATAAATCGGTCCTTCCTCCCACTTGTCTTGATAAACTCTCACGAAGCTTCATCGATCCTGAGCAATTCTTTATTTTCTTTTCCAAAATAAAACCTGGCGTTAATAGATAGGATCATTTTTTTTTTTTTTTTCTGTCTGTAAAGTAATGGAGCCGAGACGCAGAGATCTACCTGTCGGATTCAGGTTTCGTCCAACCAATTATGAGATTTCAACTTACTTCTTGAAGAAGAAAGCTTTAGGACAACCAATAACTAATCGTATTGTCCCTGAAGAGTGTCATGATATCTTCTCAAGACATCCTCGTGATTTGCCTGGTGAGTTTTCAAGAACCATACTTTTTATTATGTGGGTTTCTTGTTTCCAATCTATGAACATTCATAAAACCTTTTTTTTTTCCTCTTGTTTCTTGACCTAACTTCCTCGTTGTTTTTTCAATCATAAGTTTATCAGGACTTTGATTTTGCTAATGGTATTCAGAACAATCTAACTTTATAGCTTCTTTCTTGTCTTGTGGATGATCTTGAATTATGTTTCAGGCTATCCAGAAGAAGACCATTATTACTACTTCTGCAGAAAACGTAAGGACCAAGTTAGTACTACTAACTCTCAAAATGTATGGACACCTATCAGAGAAGCAACTGATGTGTTAGATCGAAGGAATAATAATGCATTAGTCGGCATCAAACTTCGGTTCACTCTCGTCGAACACGAACAAGAAGAAGACAATTGGTTCTTGGATGAAATCAGCCTGCCAGAGACAATTGCAGAAACTGATTGGGTTTTTTGCCATATTTTCCTCAAAATCAAACCTGAGTTTGTTGATTTACCTATACTCGAATCTGAATCCGAAGAAGAAGAAGAAGAATAAAGTGTTGCTGCAGAGAGTTTGGATCATCTTAGAGAGAAAATGAGAAGGTTCTTCCTCCATCTCCTTCTCCACCGTAGCACTTCTGATGGGTGTTCTTGGATATTTGTTTTTGGGATTTAACTTTTAACTTTTAACTATTATATGTAACTTTAACACCGAATGTGTTAAAAGTTTAAGAATCAGAATGATTCCTGAACATAATATTATCAATATATATATATATATATATAAATAAATAGCTCTTGGTATCAGATTATTAGATTCTCAATACCTATCAAAGTCCAAATCTTTATCACCTAGTTGATGTAGACCTAAGCTGAAATCATTTCAGATTTGTGAGAAAAAGCTTGCAGACTAAGTAAATAATGGTTCCACCAAAACATTTTTATTGCTGAGAGTTTTTTTGACGTATACACAACCAAATTATGGAAACGAAAATCAGTGATCGTTTCAAGCATGATAAACCACGTCCATATTTTGGATTTTGTTTCTCTCATCTCATGAGCCAAGGTTTTTGCACAAGACGTGTAAAGGCACACCAAATATGTGAAATAAGAAGAACGACTTGCTTTGTTATTGACAACATCAATGTGTATTTTATACAAGACTCTTAACCGACCTCCTTAGATTCAGCCTTATCAACTAAACTTTACACTTATCATGTAAATAAATATTTGGTTATACTTATACGTGAACTAACCAATATAACAATATTTGATATTCTTAACATTAAAACCAAAAAAAAAAAAAAAAACAATATTTGATAGGGTATGGTTTTAAGATGGTAATTTCAGTTTCGGTTTGGTTATGATTGGACCAGAGAGACTCACCGGCTATGCGTCTGCATAGGATCCGTCCTCGTGCATGGGCTCATGTTAACAATATCCCAGCCTACCTTGCTAAATTGCGCTACTAACTCTCGTAATCATAATTATCCGGTGATTTGGATCTATGTTCTCATAATGTCTCAATAATTATTAGCGGGTCATATAGAATTATAGACACATAATAAAGGTATAGTATAATCAAAAATCAGATATTCAAATTTAAAATTGTTGACGCAGAGATGTTTGACCAACTTAACACAACCGGTCAAACTCAAATAATGATGTTATCACTTTTTTTCCGCTTTGTCATAAATCTTTGACTTTTTGACTTTTTCCCTCGCATCTCCTTTAATATCCGTTCAGATCTCGCCACGTGTTAGCTCTCGTATCTGATCCATTCATCTCACACACGCGTGAGAGATTTCTCCCCAATCTTGGTCTCGTCTTCCGTCTTTCTGGTGTTTCGATCTGTTTCTTTGACCAAAAATTAAACTTTTTAGCTTTTTTTCTTCTTCCTTCAATGTCATTGAACACATTCCACGATACTTGAATCTCACTCTTCCCTTCTCTCTCCCTCTCTCTTCTCTATCTGTTTTCTCTGATTAAATCTCATTTGCTTCGGAAGTTATCGAAGTATCCGGAATTTGTTCTGTTCAATCTGCTGAGATCTTCGTGATTTAGGGTTTTTGTTATTTGTTCGGAGAGGAGATATGATGAAAGCTTCGTTTGGGAGGTTAAGGAGATTCGCATTGCCCAAGGTCGATGCGAATGATATCGGCGATTCTTTTCCCACGGCACAGATTGACGGGCTTGCTCGAGCCGCTAAGGTAATTTATTCCTCTCTTCACTCATTTTCTCTCGGGATTCTCACAAAAATTTTGTTCTTGGAGACTTGTGTTTTGCGGAATAATAGTTTTTGAACTAGGATTTGTAATCGCTTGGTGTAGCGTTTGATTTTCTTCTTACTTCAATCGAGTTTCTGTGATCAAAACCTGCTAATTCATCACCATTTTCTAGACCTGGAACCATGGAAACGCCCTGATTTTGTAGCAAATCGCCCTAATACTCCTCCCAGCTATATTTATGGAGCTTTGTTTATTGAATTATACTTAATTTAAGTCATGTAGTTTGATGTAAGCTCTGGGGAAAATTTTGAAGTTGACATTGATAGATAAGTTACGGTTAGAAATTGAAATTGTAACTGATGCTAGTTGATTGATTGTTTGATGAATTAGAGTGGAAGAATCATTAAATTTGATTTTAATGAGTACAAGGCTTCGTTTATGATATGGTGATGATAGGCTAAGTTATTACTCTATTATTTTCAGGATATGCAAGAAATGAGAGAGTGTTATGATAGACTACTCTCGGTAGCTGCTGCCACGGCTAATAGCGCATATGGTAAGCTATCATTCAACTTTATGAATCTGCAATTTTGTAGTTTCTTGCATAAATTTGGATCCTTGATGTGCTGTAACATTGTAACTGTAGTGTGTATGGTTAATTCGTATGAGAGTGGAATACATTTGAGCTCTGTTGGATTGAATTAAGTTCAATTAATATGGTTGCTAGCCTCATTGCTGATTTTCGATAGAATAATGACCATGCAGACTCTTCATTTCCCATTAATTAAATCCAAAACATGTGAGAGTTTTGTTGATGTTTTTAGGTTTCTCTGCAGTTTGTATTCAGATTCACTCATATATGAACATTAGTATATTGTTTGATTTCATCGTTTTTATGTTATTTTAAATTGGTAATATCAGAGTTCTCTGAATCATTGGGGGAGATGGGTTCATGCTTGGAGCAAATCGCACCACACAATGATGAAGAAAGTGGTAGAGTTTTGCTGAAGCTGGGTAAAGTACAGTTTGAGCTTCAAAAACTCGTCGACACTTATGTAAGTTGTATTTTGCAACCTTGTACTTTCCGTGAAACAATATGTATAGTTCTGAATAAACTGAGGAAGTTCTTGTTTCACTCTCTTTTTCCTTCAGCGTTCTCAAATATTCAAGACCATTACACGACCTTCAGAGTCCCTTCTCAATGACCTTAGAACCGTCGAGGTATGCCCCCTAGCTTTACTATTTTGAAGTCATAGTTTATATTAAAGTTTAAGTGGACAAGGAACCAACCTTACTAATCTGCTCATCTTTTTCTTTTCTTTTCCTCTCAGGATATGAAGCAACAATGTGAAGAAAAGAGGTTAGTTGTTTTCTGCAATGTAGTTTTTTCTTTTCTTGGTTCTCGTTTGGTAAAAGTTTGCCTTAACCTCTAGAGTCTTACTTACAGAGACGTCGTTAAGCACATGATGATGGAGCATGGTAAAGACAAGGTACAACTTAGAGGCGGTAAAGGGGAGAGACTTGTTCGCCGTCAGTTAGAGACTGCTCGTGATGAGCTACAAGACGAGGCCACTTTGTGTATTTTCCGATTGAAATCTCTCAAGGAAGGGCAAGCTCGAAGCCTCCTCACACAAGCAGCCCGCCACCACACTGCTCAGGTACCTTTTCGACTAAGCTTACTATCTCTGTATGAAACCGATTTGAAATTGCTCAATCAGTGTCTCTTATGCTTCGTTTTTTTGTATTTGCATAGACGCAGTTGTTCTACGCTGGTCTAAAATCGCTTGAGGCAGTAGAGAAACAAGTCAGAATTGCTGCAGAGAGACAACACATCGACTGTGAGCTCTCTGATCACGGGAACGAAATGGAGTGTAGTGAGGACGATGATGATGACCGACACGTTAACCTAGACGGAGAACTCAGTTTTGACTACATAACAAATGAGCAGATAGCGGAAACTATATCTACACCGCATGGATCAATGAAGGTAATTTGAATTTATAACACGTACGCAAAAAAAAAAAGCTTTCTCCAAAAAAGTTAAGCTCATTCACTGTCATTTTCCTATAGATGGATGCCACAGATTTCTCGTCTCAACGCCCTTCACCAGCAGGATCAGCAACAGTATGTTCTTGATTTCTCCATTTTAACATTCTATGTACTCGAGAACTCTCAGTTTTAAGAGAATTCTGTGCTGAAGTCTTATTCTCTGATGCAGGTAAATGCAGATCATAGAGAAGAGAACCAAAGTTCCTACCAAGAACGCAGAACGAGTAGCCATTCAGCACCGTTGTTCCCGGAAAAGCTGATGAGGCAGATGACTCCGTCTGCAAATGCTTACGTGTTACCAACACCTACCGATTCAAAGTCCTTCACAAAACCAGTCACCCCAACAAACCACAGTGCGAACTTATGGCATTCATCTCCACTTGAACCGATAAAAACCGCTCACAAAGATGTTGCAGAGAACAACCTCTATTCCCGTCTTCCACGCCCGTCAGAAACTCCTCAGTTTTCTCAGCACGAAGCTGCACCACGACACGCATTTTCCGGACCGCTCAAACCATCCTCAACTCGTCTTCCAGTTCCACTTCCGGCTCAGGCTCAGGCTCAGTCATCTTCTCCAAGGATCTCTCCTACCGCTTCACCTCCGCTCGCTTCTTCTCCACGGATCAACGAACTCCATGAGCTGCCAAGACCACCGGGGCAATTTGCACCGCCACGACGCTCCAAGTCTCCTGGTCTGGCTGGTCATTCGGCGCCAGTAACGGCTTGGGATCAAGAAAGAAGCACTGTAGTTGCGTCCACCAACATTGTAGCATCACCACTTCCCGTTCCGCCTCTGGTTGTTCCGAGAAGCTTCTCTATACCTTCAAGAAACAACAGAGCCATGGCTCAACAACCTTTACCTGAAACCAACCAAAACAGAGTAGTGTCTCCACCGCCTCTGCCGCTAACTCCAGCGTCTCTGATGAATCTCAGATCGCTGTCTCGGTCTCGAGTCGGGGAAGTTGCCCAGAGCGGTCAATTTAGAGGTAACGAACACTCTTTTTGTTATCTTGGAACTGCAAAATCATCATCATCATCATCAATGATATTAAGACATGAGTTGTTTATGTTCAACGCAGGAGTAAAACTGATTGAACGATGAAGCTGTAGTAACACGTCGCGTTTTATCAAAACGTTTGTTGTAGTCTTAAATAAGTAAATATAGGAGTCGATATTTTGTAATTCTTTAGTTGTTGAATATCTTAATTTGCCACGTTGAGAGTTTTTTTTTCCTGTTTTCTAATATAACATCTTTCTTTTTGAACTTAAATATGAAGGCAACGTAAGAAAATAGTTAATTTCTACAAAATAATTGAGGAATTAATGAATTACAAATCCATGAACTTTTGGGTTTGCAGATGCTTGTTGTTATTTATGTTTCTAATTATGGTTTCATGGGTGTAAGTATTACTGAAAATGACATTAACATACATGATCTGCTTCCGGTAGAGACTAGAGAGAGAGAGGAAGGAGATGATAACGTTTATCCTCTCACGTGACCCTACTTGAAAACACGTATATATGATCCACTGGCAAATGGGCCCAATTTGTTAGGCCCACTTAGAGGATAAACAGTTAAACACCTAACAGGTTCTGTTGTCTCCTTCTTGTTTGAGTTTGATTGAATTAGTTTGGCATAATTTGATTGGCATTAAAAATTGAGATCGTGATGTGTGAGTTGCGTGAGACTTAATAAAGGAAAAGAAAATTATAATTCAAAACCGTAAGAAACTGAGCGTTGGAATTAGGAAAAAAAAATCAAAAGAAACGATTATTGATTTATTCTGCCGTTGGAAAAAAAAAGTAAAAACGATTAATATGCGAAATGGTTGTATACAGTACACTACAGTTGCCAGAAAATCAAAAAGAAAGTGAAAACAAAAATAGAGAAAATAGGAAAAAGGAGAGCGACGGAAATGGTGATGCGAAATTGGGATTTGTTTATAAGCAAAGAGACGACATATAAGAGAAGAGGTCTCATCATCTACATTCTTCCTTTTTACCTTTCCTTGCGAAGATTTTCTTCTCGTTCGTTCGTCTTCTTCCTAATTCGCACGAATTCACTGTTGTCGATTTTGGATTGCTTCTGAAAAATGTTTCGTCCACAGATTCTGTAATTGATTGCTTCACCGGTGCGTATAATCCATTAATTCTTCTGGTTCTGTGTTGCTCCGATAATGAGAGAATTCTCTTCAGCTGATTTGATCACACACAGATATTCTGTCATGCGATTCTTCTACAATTTCATGATCCGCTCTAAACTTTTCTCTGAGCTGCATACGATTGTGCTTGGTTTGTTTGATCTTCCTTTTTTAGGTAGAGAATTCCAGTCGATCATTTCCAAAAACGATCTAAACTTGATACACTGTGTGCTTAGTAATGTTTGCTTGCGAGAATGATTTTGGTTCTATGCCTCTTGGTGCTTCTGAATCATATGATCCGCTATCTTTTGTTAATTTCGGTGTCTATGTGCTTTAGTTGATCCTAGGCTTAAGAATCTTTTGAGAATGGTTCTGCTTTGCTCATCAGTCATGATCTGTTGACATTTGACAGTTTCTTACTTGTACAACATCATTTCTTGTTCATTTCAGGAGAGTGTGTTCTCTATTCTCATCTCTTTTATGCGAGGAGAAATGGACGACTTGTGGACCAATGCTTAGCTCTACATGATTTGGATCGAATAGGTACATGAGGAGGACGAGATTTCACAGGAAACTACAATCCAACAAGTGAGAAGGTTGTTTGAGAAGCATTGGTATGGGTTTGCCACAGAATGCTTCAGATGAGCAAGCTCATGAAGCTTTGCCGTCTGCTTCGAATTGCAGTCTTTCTCAAAGCCTGCCTGTAAATGCCACTCCCTGTGATTCACTCAGAGGCGAGGGCTCCTCTATTGGAGAATTTGCTAGGAAAACAACATTGCAAACTTTGGGGTTTATAGATGACCCTTGGAGATGCCATCAAGAAACTCGGCTTGTTACCTCATCATCTGCTCATGAGCCTGATTATGCAATGGATAAGGTTAGTAACTGGAGTCGAACTGAAGTTCGACGGATAGTTGGTTTCCAGTCAAATGAAGCTAGCTCAAAGAGTAATAATGAACACACGAGTATCACTGTTGGTGGATCTCATGATGTAGATATTACTGGTGGATCGTTAGTGAGGAAACGAGTAAGCTCTCCTCTGGATACGATTTTCCCTGAGAAATTTGTAGGCGACCCGCTTGATATCAGCTGCAGCAACCAGAAGATGACTTCTTCTGGTCTTTCTAATGCACAAGATCACAAAAAGGCCAATATCTTCGGTTCACAGAGGAGTAAACTTTCATCTATCGTTTTCACGGACGGTCCATTGCTCGACTCCAACGCTCTGCAGCCCAAAAATAGTGTGGCTTGCTTATATGAGACATCTCAAGTAGCCGCTAAGATGTTACCATGCCATAAGAATATATCCGCCTCTCCAACACTTTCTCTGTCACCTCTTGGCCCCAGCTTCTCCGAGAGAATGAAAGCTCTACAAGGGAGGAAGGTTTTCGAGGATGGTGTTTGCTTAAGGAAGACCGGTGAAGAAGCAGAACTCAGGGATAGTCATAAATCGTTTGACGATGGTAATGGTATCCAGAGAGCGTTTTCAATGGATAGAGCTATTGACTCGGTTCCTACTTCTCCATGTAAAAGGTTTAGTAGAAGCTTGAGTGGACGTCCCATTCAAAGGTCACTGGTTGGTTCTTTTGAAGAGTCACTCTTGTCAGGAAGATATTCCTATGGGCAAACTAATCAGGTCTCAACTTACTCCAAATCTCACAAAGCCTCGATTCTTTACCGTCGCTAGACATTTTACATTTGACTCACTTGCTCTGTCTGTTTCTTTCCAGAAGATCGACGGTTTTCTTGCCATTCTTAGTATTGCGGGTGGAAACATCTCTCCAAAATCACAGAAGCTTCCATTCTCAGTAACAAGTGTTGGTGATGATTGCTTCTTACTATACTATGCCTCCATAGATCTCTCTGGAGCATCATCTTTGTCAAACAAATTATGGGGACAGAAATCGAAAACGAACCAAAGCAACTCTGATTCTCAGACCATTAATAGCCGGTTGCGGATCCCTATGAAGGGTCGGATTCAACTGGTACCATCTTTCTCTCTTTGCATTCTTTCTCTTAATGAAGAAAGAAAACTTGATGAGTAGCTGATGATGGGAGCTTCTCTGTTTTACAGGTTTTGAGTAACCCTGAAAAGACACCTCTTCACACTTTCCTCTGTAACTATGACTTAACTGATATGCCACATGGTACAAAGGTAAGAACATTTCCTCCTGTTGCTTCATTCGACGTAAGAATGCTTCAACTTACTTTTTGTGGTAATAAACTCAGTGTTTGATCAAATTCTTGTCTTATGATCAGACTTTCCTACGCCAAAAGGTTACTCTGGCCTCATCTGCAGACCTAACTCATGCAACTAAACCTAGCAATGGAACTTCTGATTCAGTGCATTCGGCAAGCGAGTGTGAGAACAGGAAGTGTCGTGAGACTTACAGAGAAACAGGACAACGGTGTTCAAAGTCCGGAGTCTTACGCTACGCTCTTCATCTTAAATTTCTTTGCCCTTTACGCAAGAAAGCTTCAAAAGTAGGTCAGAAGAAAAGCTTGGATGATGGAGAGAGGAGATTCTATTTGTACGGTGACTTGAGAGTTGTGTTTCCTCAACGGCATACAGATTCGGATGAGGGAAAGGTATGTCAAGTAACACAGAGAGTTTTAAAAGCTATTTGAATGCAAACGCTGATTTTTTTTTGCTTTTGAAATTTCAGCTGAATGTGGAGTATCATTACCCAGAAAATCCAAGATACTTCAACGTAACCAGTTGAAATCTTGGCTACATTTACAGTTTATATGTTATTTTCTTTTGGTAGAAGAAACGAATGTTATACGTAATTAAAGAATAAACTCTTTTCTCTATTGTATTTTCTATAACCTTAGGTTTAAGAAATGGCAGTGACTAATACATGTTCAGATGTACCTTGAACATCAAGAGATTCAGATGAAATTCGATTCATAAATTTTATTAATCATAACATTTATTCTAATGTTTGTGAATTCTTTGCTTCACACCGAATCAATTATATAATCTTTTCGGATAATTTAAAAAATTAACATATTGAATTTTCTAAACTAAATATTTTATTCACTCACCTGGAAATGCTACATCTAAAAATGAAATTGTTTTTTTTTTCTATATATATTAATCTGCACAAATTTTCTGAAATGATTGATTGATTATAATAGACCTGTTACGAGGGAAAAAAAAAACATATTGTTAGATTGAAAAAAACAATTTTCTTAAGAAGAGACAACATGCACCGATTAGAGAAAGTTTCGCCAGAGTTTATCAACTTAGTGTTAGATTGAAATCTCATTCAAAATTCAATTTCTCTATCAATTTAAACACCAAAGAAAAAATCAATCTATACATACCATCACACTCCTCAGCACATTGTTGCACTAATCTTGTTCGGCAACAACCTCACTAGTTTCACAAGAGCCTCAAACTGGCTTGAATCTTCATAAATTAGGATCAGACCGGACGATTCGACTGATTGAACTGTAAATCGGTGGATTTCATGAAAATACAGAATTGTAGTTAGATAAAAAAAAACCTCTACACCTTGGTTTTTATTTTTATTTAGTGATGTTTGGTTTTCTAGCTAAAAAACTCTAAAAAACATATTGTCATTTAACTGATGAGTTATAACATGAAATTATTGAAAATTATAAGAAGAATGAAGAATCAAACTCTAAAAAAAATTGATTTTTATTCATTTTTAAGTACTTCTACAAGCTAAAAGTGGAAGAAAAAACATATTATTATGCACAAAACACTCAGAAATGATTCATTAATGGGCCAGAATAAGCAAGCCAATAATTACATTTGGCCCATTGTTTCACTTGTCTCTCCCGCCAAATTGGTTTTTCTTTCCCGCCGCTATTTTTCCAAATGCCCACCCAAATTATTTGTTCTTCTCCGTTAAGCTGTCTCTTTGGTCAAATTATCGCCTTGGAAATCGTAAGTTCTCTGTTTCTCTCCCGTTCGATTTATGAAATTTCAATGTTTCAATCTGAAGTTGACGTTTTTTTTCTGTTTTGGGTATCGGTATAGATTCAGTTCGATTGTGATGTTGCTGTGAATCTCTACTTGAAACCCAGATAGTAAAATAGCCCTTTGTCTTGTGCGCGAGGAAGATGACGAGAGAGGAGCCTGAAACCAGAGGAGAAGATATGATGATCGATGCACCAAAATTCACAAACCCAAAACCTAGAATCGAAAATCCAGACGAATTCAATGTCCATTACCTCCGAATTTACTATGGCAAGTTTCATTTTTATCACATTTGGTTCTTCGCAAAATCATATCTTACTGTGTTCTCTCGTTCAAAGTAATATGCTAATTCATAAGATATTTGCAGGAAAGCTCTTTCCTTACACTGATATCCACAAATGGCTTTCGTACGGACACGGTACTTGTTTCTCTGCTTGTGTCTCTCTTTCACACACACACACACACACACACATGAGAGAGCTATAGACCATTGATGCATCATGAATATGTATTGTAACCTGTAGATGGGAAACATCCTGGTTGCGATGAATTCTACTTTGGTAGAAGAGAGTTCTCGTTTACACTTGAGAACGATGTTTATTTGCGCTATAAGTCCTTCAAGAATGCTTCTGCTATGGAAGACGCTATCAAAGTGAATTTCCCATACAAGATTGATATTGGCGCTGTGTATAGCGTTGATGTAAGCCATCTCGAGAATATCCCATTTTGTTACAAGCTTCATCTTTATATGTGCTTGTCAAAATGATTATGATTAGAAACTTTTTTTTGAATGTTTCATATTTGCAGCCAGATAAGAGACATGCTTATGCACAAAGTGGTACCAATGTGTTTACTCCAGTGGAGAGGGAGTTGGTCTTTGATATTGTGAGTTTTATCATCTTTTCTAGATACAAACCATTGGTTTTGATGCTTCTTCTTCTTCTTCTTCTTCTTCTTCTTCTTCTTCTTCTTCTTATGTGTTTTTTGTATGGTTTCTTTACTTGAATTTCAATATATTGTTTCTCTCAGGATATAACAGATTATGACGATGTCAGATACTGTTGCTCAGGAGCTGATGTTTGCTCCAAATGTTGGCCTTTAATGACAGTTGCTATCAAAGTCATTGATACTTCCTTAAGAGGTACCGCAAAGATACCTCTGATTTTGGGAATTAGATTCAGTGTGTCAATACTGTAGAACAATAGCCTATGTAATGTGAAGAACTTATTGTAGTTTACTGTTTGCCAATGTGCAAGACTGTTTGGTCTTATTATAGGAAGAACGTATAGTTACTCATTTTGGTTTTCCCAATTTGCAGAGGATTTTGGTTTCAAACACATCCTCTGGGTCTTCAGTGGACGTCGCGGAGTTCACTGTTGGGTTTGTGATGTTAAAGCTCGAAGGTGAAAACAATTACTGAACTCATTTCTAACACCGTTTGCTCGTTTCTCTTGTTGTATGAATCACATTTTCTGCATTTTCTATCTTGTGCGTTATGAAATTAAACTCTTTTGTGATCAAATCCTGCAGGTTGACTAATGAACAAAGATCAGCAGTTGCTGAATACTTCCGTGTTTATAAGGGAAATGAAAACAATGCAAGAAAAGTTGCTCTTATGGGTCATTCTCTTCATCCGTTCCTTGCGTATGAGTTTCTCCATTCACTTTTTGCCTTTCTTTCTGATTCGATGAAATTCTCTATTTTCTGCTACTAATGTTCATCTTTGGCTTTTCAGGAGGTCGTATGTGGATTTTCTAAAGGATTTTTTTGAGGGCGAGCTACAAGCAAATCAAAGTATATTCTCAAGCAAAGAAAAGTATGAGAAGATACTTGAGATGATTTCAGATGAAGGTATGGCAAGTGTGATGATGTATATGAGAAGGTACTAACCTTAGTTTGGTCACTTACGATGATCTTACATTTTCACAACAGATATTCAGTTAGAGCTCAGAGAAAAGTGGGAGAATGCTGCTAGATCATCCCTATCAGAAGAAGCCACTAGCCTTGCAAGGTGGGAGCAGCTTAAAAACACGCTCTACTCCAAGAAACAGAAGGTGTGTAGTAATGTTAAAGAGTTGTGAAAAGCTTATTTGTGTTTCACTCAGCTCTTAGCTTGATGAACTTGAATCCTAGAGATTTGCTCATCTTTTAATCTCTTATCCAATGTTTTTAGGCTCCATCACTGCGGATGTGCGTAGAAGAAATTGTCTTCACCTTTACGTATCCTCGAATTGATTTGGAGGTTTGTTTATAATCTTGTATGCTACAGTTTTGGGAGACATTACTTGACAAGTTAAGTGACTGTTTAGTTGTATGGTTCCTTGGTCAATTACAGGTCTCAAAACAAATGAACCATCTGCTTAAGGCACCCTTCTGTGTCCATCCAAAAACAGGTATTTTTTTGCTGATTTTCGAGTATATTACACCAGTTGTATAAGAATCATGTTCACAATCATGTCAACATATGTAATGTGAGCTCAAATTCTTATGAAATGTCTTGTGGTTTTCAGGTCGTGTATGTGTGCCTATCGACCCTAAGAAGTGCGATGAGTTTGATCCATTGGCAGTTCCAACACTTTCACAGGTAAAAACAATAGACAATATGATACATTCGAGTGTGGATGGATCATCACAAAGATATTGTTCCTTGAGCTTATAGTACTGTATTTCCTTTTTCCCAACGATTTTCTCAGCTTATAGAAGAGATTAACTCAGGAGGCCTTAAAATGGATGTGGATGATGATGATGGTACGTTCTTGAATACTCTAATCAATATTCAAATGTTTTCAGGATTATACTTTTCCTAGCATAACTAATTCTTGAGTTATTTTTGATACCTGCAGAGTCAGAGAGAAGTTTACTTGGGAAATCAGTCAGTTTCTTCAGATCCTCCTTCCTTGAACCTCTACTAAAGTCCTGCAAGGTAAATAAATCTCTCGCTGTTCTCCAAGGTTAAGAATCAATGCATAATCATAGTAGAAATATATGTTGGAAGAGGGATGATATTATGTTGATGAAATGTGTGCAGGAAGACATAGAGAGTTCACACAAAAGTAACATTGACAAGTCTAAGGATTCATTCAGCTGGTGACTCTAAGGTCTCGGAGTTTGTTCAGTTTGTAATCTTTAGTTTCGATTTCAGTTTGTAATGTTACGGTATTCGCTGAATTTTATAATCTAAAGTTTTTATATCTTGTTGTTATGTTTGCTAAAAATGTACCCCAAAAGTTACAATATCTACAACTAAAAGATTAACGCTAATCGTCCACACTCATCATACTTAAATATAACACAAGAAGCCAGCTTTCCAAGTCAATATGCATTTCTGATTAGCTTCTCTTAGGTTTTTGTGGGTTTCGATTTTGTTATATTAGCTAGTGGTGTCCGTCTAGGGTTTTTTCATCATGGCATCGTCTCCTAGAGAAACCTGGGCGGCCGACTTGGAGAAAATCAAGCGAAAATATCGCGAATTTTGTGATCGCGAAGCTGCTCAAGCTAATCGTAGAGCTTTGTTAGCCCTTCTTTTTGGAAAACCTAAGGAAGATGGATATGGCCCTGCAGGCTTGGTGACGCGGACGCCAAAAGAAAGAAGATGTCCAGTGGAGAAGATGCTTCATGATGGTGTCAGGAGGCGGCGGAGAAACCAAAATCTTAGACTAATGAGTAAATGACTAATCAAGTCTTTGTTTAATTTTCTTGCATAATAAGAAGATCATACGAGTCTTCTCTATTCTAATAGGAACATGATCCTTGCTGCTCTAAGTTGTTTCC